TACAACAAGAAGCCCGCGTGGACCTCCGTCTCCTCCGTCCTCCGCGCCGCACGCCACCGGCACCGTCGCGCCCCCCGTCGCCACCACCCTCACCACCGCCACGGCCCCCGCGCCCGCCACGACCACCGCGCCCACGACAACCCGTGCGCCGACGACCACGAGCACCACGTCCCGCGCCCCGGCCACCACCACCGCCGCCGGCGGGCCCACGGTCCCCCGCTGGGGCCAATGCGGTGGCAACGGCTGGTCGGGCTCGACTGTCTGTGTCAGCCCTTACACTTGCCAGAAGCAGAACGACTGGTACTCTCAGTGCCTTTGAGGTGTCTGCGTAGACGGAGCGCCGAGGGCGGCCTGCTGTGGGCTGGGCGTACCTTTTGCTCGACTTTCGACTGTACATAGTTTCAACATTGCACAAAGCTAAAATTGCCGACGCTGGATTCTACACCCGATAGTTGTTTTCCGCCGCTGAGGTGATTCGTGAGTGAAACTCTTGCGGATGATCTTGCAAGTCATTGTTAAGCATCGTGTTATGTTACGTGTTGCATGAGGGTCGTGGACTACTTGTCTAGAATGAGGTCTTCATCGTCAAACTTCTTAACAAACGAAAAATGAATTGCTCGTTCTGGCATGAGAAGCTTAGGCTTCGTTTTCTTTATGTTTTCTTTTTCTCATATTCCCGCCCGAGTCCGAGAGACAGCCAGCGCCAATCAGTCCTGCAACAAAGAAAATACTAAACGAATGTGTATCAAAATCCTCAGTCTTCTCTGGCCTACCTTTCCTTATTTGACTTCTGGCCCTGCTCGGCGCCGTCCACATTCTCGTTGTAGACAGCCCAAGTCTTGGGGTGACCGGTCGTTGACTTGGCACTGTTTGAGCGGGAAAGAGGGGAGAAGATGCGAGTAAACGCCCCTGCCAAGGAGCTGGAGCGTGGACGGTTGATCGCTCGCTCGCTCATCGATGCCTCAGTGTCTTTGTCAGTGAGGTGGCGGCGGAGGGACTCTGCTGCCGAGTTTGCGCCCTGGCTTCCTCCGCTCAGCAGCGGGGTCTCTTCTGTTGACGTGTCTAGTCCGTCCTCCTCAAGGTCCGTCATCTCGTCCGAGCTATCTTCTGCCAGTGGAGGGAACGATACGTACGTATGTTGGGTCGGGGGCTTGGTAGGGCTTCGCTTTTTGACCGGGGCTTTCTGAGTTGAAGTTGATGGGGCTTGGGTGCGGGGATCGCGTTCCTCCTTTCTATCCTCAGCTTCCTGTTGTTCTTTGGAGGGGCTTGGGGATGACATTGCACTTACTTTGGTGTGATGTTTGGGTATGATGCTTGGTGCGACGGGCTAAACGTAATATTGTTGAGAAAAAAGTACATGCATCAATAACATTACGAAGCCAAGCTGATAGCACTATTATATTGAGCTGGAGATTGTGAGATCAATACTGCAGGGGCGTAACAATATCATTGACTGAGATGTTGTGGGGCAGATAAGCGTTATCCTTTGTGAACATAGACTAGGTACGTTTGGGGCCAACCGCAACTAAATCCACGGGCTTGTATGTATGAACAAGAACAAAAGAGAGGTAAGCTTTCTGCCTGAAATTTGCGAAATGTTTCAAATCTATCGCAACGAACAATTTCACTGTTCCTTATGCTGCTTTCACACCGTTTCGAACAACCATATGCGCCAATCTACGTCACTACAGAGCCGAGGAATCCAGGTCTGATGATGTTTCGTACGTGATGTGTATTAATTAGGATATTAAAGGAGAGACATTAATTCTTGTAAGTTTCCAGAACCAATCACACTCTGCTGCGCCCGCGATGTTTCGCTGTACATGACCGTTGATCAACGCGCATCCCACGTTAGGATAGAGGGATCATTCGACTATTCCTTGGCATCCTGAAGCTCGCTGAGATCCTTCTTGTACTTGCCGTAGTCTCCGTACTGTCCGTAGCCTCCGTACTGTCCGTAGCCTCCCTTGGGAGTGGAGTATTTGTCGTACTTGGCGTATTGGCCATAGCCGTCGGGAGCAGGCTCAGCAACGGCTTTGGGCTCAGCAACGGGGGCCGGGGCGGCAATGATGCCGGTAACGGCGAGGAAGATGGCAGCGACGGAGAGTCTCATGTTGAATTATGTTCTTTGGGTCTGCGTAGCTGAGTGTTAGACAGAAGGGTGGATGATGGACAAGGACCAAAGGCTTACTGTTGCCGGGATGGGTTGGAGGTCGTACTTATACTTTTTTGTGATGCTGGGAAAGAACATGAGGTTGAGGCTCAGATGTGGGAAAAAGGCTGAGAAACGGAAGAAGACACACCACCATTTATGTCTTTCGAGAACCTTTGCTTCGGCGCCATCTGCTGCTTCGATTGGCTATACCGCCATCCATTCGCACACCGGCCAGTCTCGTCACGCCCGCCCCCTCTTTAAGCCAGCCATATCGAACCGGGTGAGGCCGCGATGGGCCAGGGGCCAGTTCTAAGGTGATGATCTTGCCATGCAAGCTCGCGGCGTTTTTGCTGATCTGGCCAAGACTGCTGCCCAACCTCTCGTGTTCACCGGTTGAGGCTAGAGAAACGTCAGATCCTCAGCTTGTTTGCCAACCCTTTTCTGCTGTGAACGCCGTCAGCGCCGCCAACGCCGCAGAGGGGCAGGTGAGACTGTGGAAGCCACCATGCACGCAAAGACTGGGTATGGAATATGGTGGTGATGCACGAGAAGCTATCAGTGGCGGACCGAGGTTTGTTGCCAAAGCCTCACCCGCGACGGTGGCTTGGAGACCGGAGCACCCTGGACGGTTTCGGCATCGCTGCTGATACCAAGGGTCGACCTTCATCCCAGACCGATCTAGGCTGAACTTACAACCCATCTAAAAATGGCTTTGTCTTGTCTATTGTGCTATGATTTGGCTCTCAACTTGCCGCAAAAAGGCAAGCCGGACTCGACAGGATCAGCAGCATCGCCTCAAGAAGCTCTCGTGTTGAGTCACGAGGGGCATTAAGGGTGAAGATCCTATCATCCGAAGGGTTGATGATGTATGAGAAGAAAAAGAGCCGGGCTATCGGCGTGAATATGGTTCATACGACCTATGCTATCGACGGGGTGACGAGGCAAGTGACGATGCCAACCTTAGCACCGGACCACGTGTACAGCGGACGAGCAACTCTGGGAAGCTTAGATACGATAGTTTGCCAGTGTTATCACCTCGCGTCGCCTGGTTGGACGTGCAAGTCGAGAAGCTTCAAGGGTGAGCAGTCCTCACACCACAGCCCTGCCATGCCCAGAGGCGTTTTGGGAGTCGACATGCATCGTCTTGCCCACTTTGGGCAAGCGAATGGTCCATGCTCCCTGTCCCGGATGCGTGGTCGTCCGGGTAGACAGGTGAGACTAGCGTGCAGAAGTGTTTCGTGCCCATCTGGCTTACTGCGACCCCTCGGCGACATTACCTCGCTTCCGATTTGACAGGCTTCTGTCGTGCCTCGTATTTCCTCCGCACGCAGCTCGGCCAGCCTATGAGCAATAGCGCCAATGTCTTCCAGCATCGGTAACCGGATGGGCAGGCAGGTGGGCGAACGACGAACTGAACTGGACGAGCGAAGAGGCCTGGTATGCATGCTTACCCTGTCTCCCCGCATCCTCTGCAGAGACCAGGGAAGCAGAGGGTCAGGTGTCATCTACTTGAAGTCGTGATGCCGACAGAAGTTAGAGGACCACGAGCTATCTCTACACCGGAGGCTTTTGGGCGTACAATCAGTGCAACATGGCGCGCTACCACTAGAAAATTGGAGTTTCTCTTCCACGCCTAGTCAATACGAGTCTTGGATTCGATCACCAACGTTCTACAGTTTTGCCGAGAGAAATAATTGTGATCTCCACATACAGCAGTCCTATCGTGACCTCTATGAAGACAGGGTTTCCCCTCAGTCTGCCCCAATCGAGCTCAGAAGGACGCCCCGCATTCCCTTGACTTTGCTCACTGCCGTGGTGCTACAGTACACGGTCGTGTTCCTAGTCGTGTCTCGGCATGGTCCCGGGCTTGGTTGTGATGGCCTCAGCCGCACACCCACCCCGATCCTTAGCGTCAGCGCGCTATCGCTATCGAAACGTGTAGCCACCTTGCCGACATCTCCGAATGGATGCATCGGTGTGTTGGCGACGCATCCAGCCCACATCTGACGGAATCGCACCTCGTCATGGCAACAAGGAGCAGCCTAGGGCTCGGTTGCTGCGCACGACATCTCACTCGCATGGAACGCCACTACGCCCGAGGCCTACGCTGGATTTGCAGACAAATGGGCACTTCGATCTAAACCGGGCGGTCCAGCTTGCTGATAGCTTATGTGCCTTTTCCTCGTTCCCGACATCCCGCCTCACGTCGATCTGCAAAGCCCACGAGCTGAAGCTCTCCCACCCCCAAAACTTGGGCCCAAGCTTCCCCTGTGCTCATTTTCTCCTCTTCAGAACCCCTTTTCACCAATTGAGCCTGCCATTATCCCAATCTTTCCCTTTTGTTTCTTTCGATTTTCGTTCAAGATTGCCTCACCATGTTCTCCAAGGAAGAGGCCCCATCATCCAGACCCCTCGCAGACCGCGTCGACGAGTCTGAGGAGGATGCTGAGTCGCTCCAGTCACTTGCTTCCGAAAGGTCCTGGACCAAACGAATAACACAATGGATGACTGCGCTTGCCGTGCTCATATTCACAAGCCTCGTCTCCATGCGTGTCGGAGCCCACCTCGCGACGCGGCCGAGTCGCCTTGATGCTTCTTGCGCGGCTCATACAACACAATGGTGTAAGTTGAGACACGGCCCCCATGACGGGCCGGGTTGAGCGGAACGCCAACGATTAACCGTTTGATCGACAGCACCTGTGCTCCGCGATATTGATGTCACGTACTCGACCAAGTACTTCAATGGGTCTTTCCTGGAGGAAAATATATATCGTCAGAAAGGCTCACCAGAGGTTGACGCTGCCTGGGAAGCCTTGGGCGTTGACTGTAGGTTTACAAGACCCCTCCCGCTACAAACCCTGCTGACGTGGCAAGATCGCCCCGGTGTCATCTCCATTGAGGACGGCCTCGCCAGCGGACTCGACATGTCCTTTGTCCAGCGCAACCCCAAATACGGCGCTGGCTTCTTTGTAAATGTTGAGGGGATGCATCACCTCCATTGTCTGGTAAGGGGAAGCGAAATGGACGAAGCGATGGGCTGGGATGACTGACGAAGAATGATTCAGAACCTCCTGCGAAAGTCGCTATTCTTCAATTACGACTACTACAAGGCTCTTGGTAAGCACGCTTTTGAGAATAACGACAATATCCTGAGCCATCACGTCAGTGAGTACCGACCTATCACTTCTTGATACTTTGAAGCCCGACTGACAGAGTCAGCCCACTGCCTCGACATGATCCGTCAGGTCTTGATGTGCAACGTCGATACTGGTGTCCTCGGGCAGGTCTGGGCAAATCAGGACGAGCCGGCCGCTTTCCCAGATTTTAATACACGACATCAATGCAAGAACTACGAAGATGTCCAAAAGTGGGCTAATAAGCTTCAGGTACGTAAGATTCTCCGTCATGGGCCACATCTGTCGTACTGATTGTGAGATGTTAGGCACCGCCTGCTGAGACCGTTCCTGAGGATTACTTGGAGCCGCCTAGACATGGCGACGTCATCCCGGGCACCCCATGAACCCTGCCGAGGGACCGAAGACCGAGAACTGTATCAGGTATACGAGAATGACTACATATGTAATGGTCATGTATGAGAAGTAATTCGAGGTGCGTCGTTGTTGACCCGAGTGATCGTATCGTACTTGTGTCTGACAGGTATGCAGACTAGATAGCAAGCATTAATCAGAGCTCACGCCCGTGCCTCATTCCTCTTTTATTTGAAGCTGGCTTGACGTGGCGAGCTTAGGGACCCCCATGGCCCAAGCTATGTATGTCGGGAGTGAGTGCGGCTCTTGAGCCCCCTCTCTCCCTTGTGTTGCATGCAGCCGGATGTCGCCAAGACAGAACGCCAAGTGATTCCAACGCCCTTGTTGATTGATAAAGCAAGTATGATGGAAGTTAATCAGCGACTCTTGACAAGAAATGGTGACAATGGGGTTTAGATTCTCCGAATCATCCCAAACATCTTTTTGCGCCAATGCAATCAAGTCTGCGGCCTCGCGTATCCAGCTGCAACATTCTCAACTTACCTAGAAAGCGCACTCCGAGTTCTGAACATTTCGGACACCGGACCGACAACCGGCGTGATGTCGGCGATGATGTTGCATTTGACGGAGGACTATCCTGATTGTGAAGCCAAGGCCCGAGTGGGCAGTTTATTCTCTGCGCTAACCGTCTCCCCGCACTACTGAACGTCGATCTTGGCCATCAAGGTTCATATGGCCGAAGCAGTAGCACGGGAATGTTACTTGAAACAACTCTCGCTGCCCTCCACGTGGTTCGACGATGTCTGTCTTCTGGCTTGACGTTTCATTCAGTTTCATCAGTTCCCGCCTAGTAGCCAAGCCAAGCCTTTGCTGCATCTCGCAACGTCCCATGGCTGGATCACACTCCCGAAGAAACTGCAAGTTGGTGGTCTATTGCTTGGACCGGCCTCTTTCGAGAGTCTGGTTCTCTTGGCATTCAGGAACAGGGGCCATTCCCGAGAGATAAACCATTCTTCCGAGCGGCACGGAGGCAACGACTCGGGCTCGCAGATGGTGGTTGTGGAGAGCGATTGACTCTTGGACCATGGCCAGAGCATGCCATGCATCCACGATCATTTAGGGCGAGGCACATTGCCTCTACGGGCACCTCCTAGCAACGTCCTCCCTGAGAAGGAGCTGCAGCACAAATTGTGTCTTGGCAATGCGCAAGATACTTAATGCCTGCGATGAACCGCTGTATTCGACTCGAGCTGCTCCGATGTGCCAACCCAGCCTTTTGATCACAAGCTCTTCCAATTGCTTCACAAGGTCTTGAGATAGCAGACCAGCAGTCCATTTCTTGAAGATACGACGCGAGGCTCTACCCTGCTTGCTGGGTCTTTCGCTCAGGCCGCCCTAGGCACCATTGAGCCCAAGAATTTCATTTTCATTGTCCCTGATGGCATGGCGCCAGCTTCGCAGACAATTGCTCGCACATATGAAGCCATGATTGAAGGCAGCTCCCGCCCTGGTGCGCCTGGAATTATTGACGAACTACCGGTAGTGTCACGGTGGGTGACTTCGTTCCCATTAGCGAAATTCACAATCTGATACAATGACAGCCTATCGGCAACCCGCGCACCCACTCGAACAACAATCTTGTCACAGACTCGGCCGCTGCCGGGACTGGTCTCGCCACGGGACACAAGACAAACAACGGTGCGATCGGTATTTTGCCTGACAACCAGCCCGTTGGATCCATTCTCGAGGCTGCCAAGCTTAATGGCTATCGGACTGCCCTTGTCGTTACCAGCATCATCAACCATGCAACCCCAGCCGCCTTCTCATCTCATGTGGTCAATCGCAATGGCCTCGCCGCCATTGCTGAGCAACAGATCGGTTGCAGTCACCCGTTGAATCAGTCCGTCGACATCCTGCTTGGTGGTGGACGCTGTTACTTCAAGCCCAAGTCCGACCCGGATTCCTGCCGAGATGACGAGATTGACCTCTTCGCATTCACCCAGGATAAGGGCTAATTTGTCGCGCAGAACCGCTCGGCGTTCGACGACCTTGATAAGGGTCTCGGCGACATCCGGCTCCGGTATGTCGGTCTTTTCAGCGACGGCGACCTCAACTACGAGATCGATCGCCAGCAGCAGCCTGAAGCGGATCGTGAACCCTCCCTTGCCGAGATGACGACGGCGGCCCTCAGCTCGCTGCACCGTGCCTCGCACTGCAAGGATAAGGGTTACTTCATCATGATCGAGGCCTCGCGCATCGACCACGCCTCACACGCTTACGACTCGGTCGCGCATCTATGGGACGTTCTGGAGTACAACAACGTTGTCAATGTTGTGACTAAGTGGATCGATGAGCATCCCGACACGGCTATGCTGTCAGTCGCCGACCACGAGACAGGTGGACTAACCTTCCCGAGCGGCTATGATCCCCGTCCGCTGGCCGCTGCCAAGCATTCCATCGCCTACCTGACGGAGCTGTGGAACGACTACAATGGCAACGACCGTCGCGGCTTCTTGAGGAACGAGATCCTCCCGGCGTATGGTGTCAATGATGCCACGGATGCGGAGGTCGAAGCGCTGCTCGCGGGCGACTTCGCGGCGAACCTTGCGAAGCCGATGAATAAGCGCACTGGCCATGCCTGGTCGACGTGTGGTCACTCCGCCGTCGACACGACGCTGTACGCCTATGGTGCGGAAGATATGGGTGATCAGCTCATCATCGACATGGCCGGCGCGCACAATAACACAGAGTTGCCAAAATATATCGCAAAGGCGTTGAAGGTCAGCCTAGAGGAGGTGACAGAGCTGCTGCGAGCCAATGGAACGGACTGGATCCCTCGGGTCTGAGCTGTGGGAAAGCTGTCATGGCTGAAGTACAATTAGACTCTTGATAGCCATGGAATTGATAACATCTAGTGTTTCATGTCTCTGAAACTGCCTGGTGTTCAGTTCTTGTTGGACTCAACGTGAAGCTGACATGTGCGTCGTTATGTTCTTGAGTTAATGACGTCTCAATGACTGGACTTTCCGCTCTTATTTGCATCTACACCCAAACCCAAACACAGGGCACGAGGAATGAACGTGGAAAGAGGATGAAAATTCTTACACTTGATTGCGTACAAAATAATGTCTTACAACAGCAACAACCTCGATCCGCTGCACTATTTGAATGCCGATTGGGGCTTCCTCGATTTCTTGTGGTCAGGACCAGCGCTTCCAAACATGACTTTCCCAGCCCAAGTGGAGGTTAAGGAGCATGCCATGCCATTGATACCGTGGTTTGGGAAAGGAAAACAGTGTGAAACACTATGTCAGTGCAAGTAATACTAAAAATATGGTGCGCCTTTCTCCAAGATGAAACTGCCTGAGTAACATTATGCAAATGAATCAGTCACGGAACTGGGCCTCTCGCCCGTGTTCGCTAGGTTCCAGTGCCGGAGGCATAGGCCAGTCCGCCTCAAGGTCCCTTTCCTGTAACGTGACGCCGAAGAACGCATCATCATATTCCATCACCTCCAGTCCTTCCATCCCGCTGTCCGGGCTGCCCAAGTCATCAGTGCTACTGGGCGTCTGGTCATCTGGCCCGAGAACGTCTTGACCGCCAGTCTCCTTCTCCTGCTGACAGGCGAGCATACCAGGAAACTTATCCCATGGTAGAGCGTTCGCCGTGACCGAAATGGAGGTAGTGGGCGTGGCTGGCATAAGCTGGGGAGCATTGAGGCTGGGGCCGTTGGATATCCTCTTGCTCGAGGTCCAGTGTACTTGCAGCAACGCAACAATCTCGGACTTTTGGGGGACCCTGGCCTCGCTGACGGCCATGTCAAGGGTCAGGGCCAGTCGCATATAGAGGGAGGGGTGGTAGAAACAAATGTCGATCCAGCTCGTTGCGCTCGAGCCCTCTATTGAGGTGTCATCGGGCCGCGCAAGATTGGCAGCTTGGCGAACTGCACCGCTCACCCAGTCAATACCATCGTAGAATGTTCGGTATGTTCGCATAGCATCAATGAAAACCTTGAGACGCTCTTGCTTGGCCATGATGTCGGCCGTGGTGCTGTGCCGTGGCCTCAACATAAAGTCAAGTGTATGCAGAAGAAGAGGCGTCATGAAAAAAGCGATACTGTCATCAAGGTCAACAAGAGGCAAAAGAAAGGGACCAACACCGAGAACATACGCGCTGAGAGGCAAATAACGGATCAAGTCAACCTGGAGCAACTCTTGAAGGCAAGATGTCATTCCCAGGGCTGCCTCCCTCACTTCTTGGCCCTGAGAAGACTTGGGAGACACAGCTGTGGTGCTTGGCGGTCTATCGTCTTCTGGTTCGAGAAGCATTTCACGGTGTGAAAGAGCTATTCGGCAAGCGCTAAAACCAATGAGAAACTCCTCGCGGAACGGCACGATGCCCATATCTGGAAGGGCCACTTACAAGTAAAAGATGTGCAACAAGTTGGTGTGCACGATAACAGAGCGTTGGCGAAGCCCTGACGGCTTCCTCCCAGGAGTAGGTTGAGTCTGCTTTTTATACCAATCTTTCAGTGCTGTCCGACATTTACTCAATCTCTGATGTGACTCCTGCACCCGACAGCTGCTCCCATTGGTGTCTGTTACTGGCGGTAAGACATCTTTCAGGATGTTACACAAGCACATCAGGTGGATATAGATATCCAGAAGGCGCCGCCTCGACTCGCCGGTATGAACCTCGGAGTGCGTCAACTCGTTGTCGAAGTCAGAAGGTTCGAGAATAGGATATGCTGTTGGGATTTGCATGCTTCTCCTCATGCCGATCGACAAGAATCGGTCACGAACGATACAGCACCACCAGAGGCGTTTCAGCATCTGGATGTCGTGAAGATTTCGCTGAGAGCTGGACTCTGAGCTTTTGACAGCCGCCTCAATGTCCCAGGCAAGGTGAGCTTTTGCGCATCGAGCCTGATGTATGGCAAAGGATAGCCAGGCCGTGTTCGTCCTGTTGCGCTGAACACTGGGTGGTGGACACCACATGGTTAACAGAAGAGCAGCACGTGCGGACACTGCTGGTGGTGCTTCGGGTCCTGCGTCAAAAAGTGCCTGAAAATTAGTCTCGCGATTGGGATAAAACCTTTGCACGACAGATCGGTACCTTTGCCCTGTTGTAGAATGCCGCTCTGGCTGATTGGATGCTGAGGAAACCGAGCGCTTGAACTACTGTTAATGGCACAAACTATGATGACGAGTGGGTTAGTAAAACATGGTCCGGCTTGGTATTCAGAGGACTCCCCGAAATACGCACGTTACTCGCAGTGAACAACATTGCTTGGAACACAAGAAGGGGGACCTTTGTAGTGGCCTCGTCCGGTGTTTCGACCCGATAGGCCGCCCAAAACTCAGCTTCATCGAGCAGAGGCAGAAAAGGGTGTACGTGCAAAAAGTATTCGCGCATAAACTCGTCCAGGATGGGTTTGTTCGGGATATGAAAGCAGCCCTTGGTCTGGAGGAAGACGATGTCTGGTTGAGACAGACCAGCCAGTCCATCAGTATCGAGGAAGGGACATGATGGAGAAGGTCCCCAGGGCCCAACCACCTCACGCGTAGAGTTGGACTCATAGTGCTCAGGATCTGATGCCGCAGGAGGTATATGGAGTAGTAAGTCCAGTGCAGTATCTGGTGTTGGCCAAACAGTCAGCAAAGCAGCGTCCAAGGGCGTACAATCATGCGCATACCGGTTGCAAGATCATTCTTGGTGGAAAGCTCGGCCGGGAAAGCAGTCATCGTCTCTACCGCAGAGGTATGTAGTAGCGCAATCTCAAGTGACGGTTCTGGCTCCTGAGAAGTAGATACGTTTTCCGAGTCGGTGCCCATGTCCACCGGTATGTCCAGCTCGTTCAAGGCTGGCAGCGTTGGGAATCCTTGATTTGAATTCACAGCATTTGTCGCCGCGTCGATGTCAATGACATCCTCTGATTTACTGCTATTTCCGGTGGCAAAGACCGCTTCGTAATCGGGATTCGCTATCGAAGGAAGTCGACTGCGTGATTCCCATGAGTTCCTTTTCAGAATAACACCAAGCACTGTGGAACATACCGCCGAGACGCCCGATCAGCAACTATGCATGGCTTCTCGTCGAGGTGACAATTGGTACAAGGCGGCCCAAGAAGGCTGACATTGCATCGGACCTTGCGCTGGCGGCAACAGAGACACGCTTTGACAGAACGCCGGCGGTGACTTCGGCCAAGACGGAAGTTTTGGCTGTCACATAACGGCGGTTGAGGATCCAGACTGCCTGGGTCGGTGGTTGAAGGCAAGTCAAGGATCTGGGATGTATGCTCTTGCTGCATTTTGACGGAGAGTAGAACTGGTCAAAGGATTACCCCGAGAGTCTGGAGACAGCGACTAGGTCATGGTTGACTCTCATGTGAGGCAGGGAGTGCAATTGTCGCCGGGGTCAATCATTGGGGTATTGAAAAGGGAGAAGATTCGTGAAGTGAGGTCCCATTCACAGATGCCGTGTAGTGAATGCGGGGGAGAGCGGAGCTTTCTAGGTAGCTGAATCTGAATGGCGCTGGCTTGGTCGACCGAATCCTGGGCGACGCAGCATAACATGGTATTAATTCCGCGCCCCTGACGTGTACCACCTTGGAACTACCTATGTACAGATGATGGCGGTTATGCTAACTATCTTGGGAAGACTACTGAACCAAGGACATACGACAAAGTGGGCAGCGCAGGGCTGCTGTGTGAACGCCGTAACCTGGCAACCCATTAAAACCTCGGCAATAGCGAGCACGATCTACAGAGGTTCCCCGCATTTCTACATCCAGATTCTGGTCGGCCTCTTTCTACACTAGCCTTGCCTTCACGCCGTCGACCTCCTGTTGTGCCCTCTGCCGGAGGGCTCGACGGAGGATCTTCCCTGTCTGCTCCAAGGTTAGCGATCGATCAAAAGGCTAAGAAATGCAGGGTTCCCCGCCTCGGATCGACGTACCGGGAGTCGAGGGATGCTGTCCACAAAAGCTAGCCCACCTCTGAGTTGCTTGTACTTGGCGACTCGCTTGTTCACCCAGTCGAAGAGGTCTTCCTCCGTCACTTCCGGGGTTCTGACTACGTAGGCACGAGGTACTCCCTCGCCCCGGACGACGACCCCGACGACCGCCGCGTCCGTGACACCTTTATGATCGAGCAGAACCCCTTCGATCTCTGTCGGCGACACTTGAAAGCCGCGCACCTTGATCAGGTCCTTGATGCGGTCCACGATGTGAATCTTGGCCCCCGCCGCGTACTTGTCCACGTAGACGACGTCCCCTGTCTTCAGCCACGTGATGCCATTTTCCGTGTGGAGAGTATCCGCTGTCGCAGTCGGATTCTTCCAATACCCCTTCATCAGCGTCGGCCCTGAGAACCAAAGCTCCCCGCTCTTGTTAGCGTCCGTGACCTCTGTTCCGTCTTCTGCCACGAGCCTGAATCGCGCGTTGGGCACGATTTCGCCGACGGATGACGTTTTCTGCTGGTCGTCGGGGCCCTTCATCGATCCGGTGCAGGTGACCTCTGTCATGCCCCAGCCCTGGCTGATGAAGTGTTGGCCGTCTGGCCATATCCTCCTCTCGACCTCGAGCGAGATTTCCGGTGCCAAAGGTGCAGTGCCCGATACCACGTCACGTATACTGGACAGATCGAACTTGGCCGTCAGCGGGCTTTTGGCGAGGGACAGCAGAATGGGGGGCGCCGTCATGATTGTGGTGATCTTGAAAGTCTGGATGTGGCTGAGGAGCTTCTCGAAATTGTAGGCTGGCATGATGTACGTCGGGATGAGCATGCGCGGGTTGTTCACGATGAACGACGTTTGACCTGCAGCGTGGTACAGGGGCATGAAGCAGATGCTCGCATCCGGAGTCTCGCCGGCTTTCTTGTCGTTGATCTGCCGCCGCAGGAAAGTTGTCGCCTCACCATTCGCGACATATGCAAAGTGTGTAATCTCAACGCCCTTGGGGTTTCCCGTGGTCCCCGAACTGTAATTCAGACAGCAAGTCGTGGTTCGAGGGTCCTGCGGCTCCACCCAATCAAAACGCGCCGCCTCGGACGCAGAGGCAAGCATGTTGGTCCACGACGGCATGGGTCTGGTGGTTTCTCGCAGGTTTGGATCGCTGCCGTCGATGGAGAAGAGGCGGCTGCTTGGAATTCCCGCTTGCAGACACGCTTCGCGCGTTGTTGCGAGGGCGACGCTTTCTGCAAAGACGAACGACGCGCCGCTATCCCGCAGCTGATGAGCAAGCTCTCTGGGTTGCAGGGCTATGCTCGCGCCTGTGAAGATTCCACCAGCCATGAGAACGCCCATGAACAGAGGCGGGAAGAAGAGGCTGTTGCTGCTGCATACTAAGACACGATCTCCCTGGCTCAAACCCGCTCGTTGCAGGCCGAGAGCCACTCTTTTGGACAATAGCCGAAAGTCAGAAAAGGTCAGAAACCTCGTTGCGGGTGAGTCGGCATCGAAGAAGATCTTCTGGTCGACGAGTTCGCCAAACGATGAGCCGAACACCCATTTGTGCAAAGCCACTTCTGGCGTCGGGGTAGTCCAGCGAGATTCGATAGGCATCTTGTTGTGGGAGGGGTTTTGATGTTCCAATAATTACCTAGTTAGATTGGGGGAAACAGTAGGAGCAATGGCAGACTTCATTCCATCGAACCCCTTTGCGGTTTTATGTCATGAGTATGCTGAAGATCGAGAGCTCACCGCCGTGGCAGGTACCTCGGTAGTATGTGGGGACTCTGTTGCGATTTCAATCTGGTGCGCGCACTCGGACGCATTTTAACTTTGGATTTGCGGGTTCATTCATCTACATGTAACTCGGTTGTTCATTCCGCTGGCAGAGCGGTAGATAGGCCGGTATGATGCATATTGCATCAAAGCCTTCAGGGGCCATTAAGGTTCTCCATGTACATTACTAACCTCTTTCGTGGCATGACCGGGGCACTTCAGGTGGGGTGGCGTCACTCATCACTTGCTATGGATATCATGTCCAAGCGGGTAGAATCTTGCATCATCTTGCGATTCTTCCGCAGTCCGTCCACAAGATCGAGCAATGTCGCTATTCTTGCCAAGACATGACCTGACATTCGCTTCAGCTCCAGCCCTTACTCACCCATTAAACAAGATGCAAGGATGGTACGAAGCCATGTCAACACGCTCTGCACGCCACCAAGTCTGACTTGCACGGTAATCCAATTCATGCCAATGGCTCCGGACCAACTTGAGGACCCTCGGCTAATGTGGGTCTGCACTAAGGCGATGTACCCCGCGATGTGCGGCAGCTCTATCTTCGGGTCATGTGGGGCAACCCCGTGCTGAACCACGTTCATGGCGGCAGAAACAATCTGGGGTAAGGTGGATTCATGGGCACCGAGTCGACAGGCTTTGTCTTATGGCGCAGTATATAGATCGTGGAACTCTAGCACAATGGCAATATCGTTTTCAACTTGGCATTTGTTATTTTTTGGCCCGTTCTGGTCTCGCTCTGTCCATCATGCTCTGGACCTCCACGTCGACTGGCCAAACGGCCCATCTGACTGCCTTTACCGTTGGTGCCTTATTTCATATATTGCTGTTCAGACGTGGCGAATGGGACAATTACGCGTCCAGGATTGTCCTAGCGTTTGCCACTACATTCTCAGCATCCGTTGCTGTTGTGTTCTATGGAGCGCCAGTCCCATCACAGGATGATCTATGGCAGGCCGTCAAAGACGTATCATCCCTCCATGGCGCACTCATCGCTGGTCTCTCTGTGAGCATGGTGCTCTACCGCTCTCTGTTCCACCCCTTGAGACGTTTCCCCGGGCCGTTTGCTGCCAAGCTTTCTGGCGCTTACTCCACACGGCTTGCGAGGAAGAATGAACAGTTCTTCATCGAGGCAAAGAAACTGCATGAAACGTATGGAGACTTTGTTCGCATCGGTAAGAGCTCCTGGAAAAAGGTTAGCAAAGTCCATCTGACCAGCTTCTGTTATCTCTAGGTCCCACGGAAATATCCATCGCACATCCAACAGCCGTGCAAGCCCTACACGCCAACTCGTCACCGTGCTCCAAAGGTCCATGGTACAATACTCAGCTTCCAGCCAGGTCGGTCCATACAACCCGAGATCGTGAAGACCATGGCCGAAGGCGCAAGGCATGGGATCGGGGCTTCTCATCAAAATGTTCGTGCTGGCCCAGTCCAAGGTTGAAGACGCTCGCACTAAAACCCAGATAGCTCTTCGGGACTACGAGCCCCGCGTCAGGACCTACACAAACCAACTCCTGACTCAGATTGATGCCAAGAAACACGGCGCAATCAACGTCTCCAAGGAATTCAATCTGTACAGCTTTGACGTCATGGGCAACTTGGCTTTTGGCAAGAACTTTGGGCTCATCATGTCGCAGAAGATGCATCCTGCCATGGAGTTACTGCAGGCCACAACAGCACTTAGTGGGATGTTGATGCACATGTCATGGGTTGTCCTGTTTGGCAGGAACGGTCCGCTTTTGACGAGACACTTGAAATCTTTTGAACGCTGGCTCGACGAGCAGACGAAGGAGCGAATGGAGGTGAGCCTTGGCACACATTCTGGCTTCCTTTTGCCACTTTGCCGGCTAACAAACAGTACAGAATGAGCCTGATATCCCAGATGTGTTTTCCTGGGTCCTGGGAGACTATCGATCCAAAGTGCAGCCGACGAAACAAGACTATATCGATCTGTGCGGCGACTCGATGCTCATTGTCGTTGCGGGAAGGTAATGATTTGACCCGCGGGGGAAGCGAGCAAACATTGCTGACCAGTCTCAGCGACACAACTGCCACATCTCTCACTTGCCTGTTTTTGCAGTTGACACAGAACCCGACTAAGTGTCGAAACCTGCAGGAGGAGATTGATAAGTACTTTGCGGACCGCGACGGCACGGATCACGCATCGTTGGCCAAACTACCATACTTGCAGGCCTGCATCGACGAGTCACTCCGCTTGTACCCACCCATTCCATCGGGACTACAGAGACTCACTCCGCCAGGCGGGATCCGTGTGGAGAACACCTTCATCCCAGGCGACACCATTGTTCAGGTTCCTAGCTACACACTCTATCGAGGTAAGTTGCGCCTGCACATTGCCGACACAGAAAGGCCCTTGCTGATGGCGTCCTAGACCAACGAGTGTTCCCACGCCCGGATGAATTTGTTCCTGAGCGATGGACTTCCAAACCCGAACTTGTCAAAGATAAGGCAATCTTTGCCCCATTTTCTATTGGTAAGCATTCGAGTATCCCAAATGAGAAGCATCGGCTGACGACTGCCAGGTCGATATTCCTGCGTAGGCAAGCAGCTTGGACTCATGGAAATCCGGACCGTCACTGCTGAGCTTTTGCGCCGCTACAATGTTTCTCTGGCTCCTGATCAATCAGTCAAGGCCTTCACCGACAAACTTGTCGACGGCTTCACTCTGACTTGCCCAAAGCTAGACATCATTTTCACACCCAGGGACAAGGGTAGCCAGGGTTGACCAGTTGCGGTCTTGGTGGGGGATGACTGTATGATTGCATGAGTTTATTTCCAGTTTTTCAAATGTGGTAACGATTATGAATAACATTGTTATTTCAACACTTTCTTGTTGTGTTAACCTTGTATCGAAATCTTTGCTGGGAAGCGACGCTTGTGAGCCTCTGCGAAGACACCCTACCCATTTCACGCTATCATGAAACATCCTGGGATTCCTTTCTTCATTCTTTTTTCCCAGCCATATTTGCATGCAAACCAATGTACAGCGAACAGCGGGGGGGTTGTCCGTGTCCTTACATGGATCGTAATGTAAGAAACGGATTAGTGCACGAGTAGTATCAACTAATGTAATGCTGAAAATATCCGAGACTGACAGGTGATGCCAATGTCTGTGCGTTTGTGCTGGCGGCAAGGTTGGAGGGTTCTGTGGGTTGCAAAACTCGGCATCTAGTCGTCTAGTTTCATGATGATGACACGCAACGAGACTAAAACCAGTCCGAGCGAAAGGTGTTCAACAGCCAGGCGTCTGATCTATACGGAGAAGAGAACTTATCTCCAGACCTCAGCATAACGATGGACCGAGGCCTTGGCTGTATATCCGTATGATGCTTGAAGACACATCTTCCATTCGACTCTCAGTGACAAACCACAAGACCTGCCTGGCTGACGACTCGGCAACACCTTATGCATACAGGCACAGTTGTCACCACGGAATTGAACAAAGTGGATTGATTGTTGTTAAGGTACAAAAGGAGACTTCCAGAAGTCCAAACGAAGGTAATTGGTCAGATCCAGCATCGGTAAGGAGTCTTACCGGGGCGATAACGACAGAACAAATGCATCAAATGAGGACTCCACATTTGGGATGAAAGTACTCCTGGGTCACAGAACAGAACCTTGCCTGATCGGCAACACACCCCCTCAGATGGGTAGGCGAGCCTCTCTCTGACCATCTGAACCACGAAAGATCAGGCAGATGCCTGTTGGCGGCTTTTGGTAGAGAATTTGGTGCCTTTGGAACAGTTGGCGTTCTCAGGGCAGATGAAGGAAATCGTGCTTGTGAAGCAAATAAGGATGTGTGTAAGTGTTAGGAGAGGTGGGCGAAATTGAGCAAGCTGTTCACTGGTGGACCGCTGGTACGCACTCCATCTGCAGAAGCTTCACGAAGTTCTGATGCTTCTGAGTCGGGAGAATCTTTGTAAGCCCATCGCTCACTATCTTGTCAGTGCTCATCCAGTCCACGGATATCTTCCCCTGTCTGACTGTTTGTCGGATCCAAAGACGATGGATGTCAACATGCTTGAGCTTCGTAGTGGCTTGAGGCCTCTCACTAGTGAGTAACAGCAGCGTTTGGCGGTTATCACAGAACATCTGGATCGGAACCTTGCCATGAAAACGTAGCTGAAGCTCCTTGATCAGACGAAGAGTGGCAAGGTAGTTCCTCGCTGCGACACTGAGGGCCACCAGCTCAGCTTCGGTGCTAGAAGTGACCACGGATCGCTGCTTTGTAGCTTTCCAGTCAATTGGACCTCCAAAGAGCATGGTGGTGTATCCTTGTGAGCTAAATCTGGTGATGGGATCATCGCCGAATGATGCGTCGCTCGCACAATACAGCGATGTAGAATGGTCTCCTGATCCTCCGTAGGACAGCGAGAGAGTCCTTGTGCGATAGAGGTAGCGGAGACAGTGGTCTGCTGCAAGGTGATGGAGTTCTGTCGGCCTGAGCAGAGACTCCGCAAGTCTTGAGGCAGCTTTGGCCACATCAGGTCGTGTTGTGGTTGCTGCGTAATTGATGGAACCAATTTTGCGTTGGTATAGTTGAATGGATTCAGCAGAGGCTTCGTAATCCTTTGGAGCAGGTGCTGGGTCTGTTGATAGAGGCGTCAAATGACCTCTGGTGGATGGCTGGAGGTTGAGGTCCTTCATCTTTTCAGTGATGTAGTTCTCCAGAGACAGCCAGAGCTTGCGCTGGCTACGATCTCTGACCACTCTGATGCCTAAGAACCATCTGACCTCGCCAAGTTCTCGCATCTCGAACAGAGACTTGAGCTGGCTCTTCAGCTCTTCGGCCGCTTGGCGATCCTCTTTGCGGTTCATGAGGATGATGTCGTCAACGTAGAAGAACATGATCATGCCTCTGCCCATGAAGACACAGTTATCTTCCTCGAGAGCCACGAGGCCGATCTTCCGCATAGCCTCGGACAGCAGCTTGTGCCAGAGAAGCGGTGATCGGCGCAAACCGTACAAAGCTCTCTTCAGCTTGAAAATCGTGCGCCTCTGTGGAGCGCCCTTCTTCTGTTGCATCTCCTGCATGAGATCCCAGCCCTGAGGGGCCCAGACGTAGACTGTCTCGTCGAGGTGTGCATTTGGAAAGGCGTTGACGGCATCCAACTGGTGCGTGTCTAGGTCAAACTCTGCACAGATGGCCATCAACGTTCTGAACGTCTTGGCTGCCAGTGTCGACGCGTATGTTTCCATCTCATTCTTGGGCTGTTGGTCTCCTCGTACGCAGAGCCTGGCCTTGAACTTGGTCACGTAGCCGGTGGAGTCAACCTTGTATTTCCAGACCCAGGTCAACCCGAGAACCTTGTGTATTTCCTGGTCGACCGATTCGAAGGGGACTTGCTCGATTGTGTCCATATTTTCAATGGTGTTGACCTCCTGGACGCTTGCTTCTAGCCACTGCTTTTTGTGATCAGAATGAAGCATCTCCTTCCAGGATCTTGGCTCCGCGGGCATATCTGTTCGGAGAAGCGGTTTCTTGTTCGATGGAGTCTGAGTGTGAAAGAATGAGTATTCCACGGTCAAATGTGATGATGGAGGCATTTTCTTGCTGCGGCGGGCTCCTAGAGCCTGGTCGGTGGGGGTGCCGTCTTTGAACTGTGACGGCTTTCTGTCTCTAGCGCTCCTTCGAGTGCCTTGGATTTGTGTTGATGGCGACGGCTGTGGGGCTGGTGCCACTGATGGTCGGGCCTCCACAGTCTCTGTCTCGTCTTCAGCTGAACTTTGATCAGCTGGTGTGTGTTGAGGTGTTGATTCAGGGCTCCGAGCTACTTCGATAGTGTCTTCAATAGCCTCTTCAGTCACTTGAATGGTGTCTGGCACGGGGATCGTGTCTTCCACAGCATCTTCAGCCCCTTGAATGGTGTCTATTACGGCATCTTCCACCCCCTCAGAGACAGCTGGCTGGCCTTGTCCAGTCTCCGTCTCTGGAGTTGGACGTGGTGACGGCAGGACATCATCTCTGCTGGCTGTGTGACCTTCCCGGGGTCGCAGTATCTCCGCGTTGATCTTTCCTCCAAGTTGGAATGTCCGGGCTTTCTCGAACAGGTCGATGGTGGCAACATCGAACTCGTCAATGTCCAGTGACGAGTTGAAAGGATTCTGGGCGTCCGCAACGGGCACGTCCAAAGCCTGGAATTCGTCCTGTAGAATTGGCTTTGGGGATTGGGCGTCCTTGAAAACTGTGGACTCATCGAAACCCACGTCTCTTGTCCTCAATACTGCTTTCATCTCTGGAACCCAGATTCTGTATATGTTGCTGCTGTCGTATCCACAGAGATAGCCGATGTGGGCTCTCGGAGCCAGCTTCTGCTTTCGGTTACGTCCCTCTTGGGCGTCTGCCGTGAGAGGATACGCCCTGCATCCGTATCTTCGCAGGTGAGCCAGGCCTGGAGCCGTAGTTCGAGCGGCAAGGCCCTTGGAGTTGAGCCAGTCGTTCAGCCTTCCTTCTGGTGTCGCCCACTGTAGGCGTCCCTTCGGCGTGAGATTGTGGAGATATGCAGCGGTTTGTACCACCTCTGGCCACAAATCCTCCGGGAACCCAGCAGCCGAGGTAAGGGTTCTTGCGATGGTGAATATCGTGCCTCCATTGCGTTCTGCGGCACCGTTCTGTTCTGGTGTCCTTGCGGCTGATCTCTCCAAGAGAATGCCGCGCTCTTCTGACCAAGTAACCAGATTGCTGCGTAGTGCTGAGTCCCAGTCAACTCTCAGGACCTTGATGACCAGATGGTACTGTCTCCAGAGAAACATCTCAAAGTTGATAAACGCCTGGAAGCCATCTGCTCTGGCAGGCAGAATCCTGACAACAATCTTCCCCGAATATGCGTCCGTTATTACAAGGCACGACTCCATGCCGTTGTACGACTTCCCAGGGCTGAAGAAGTCCAGGTTGACGCGCTCAAATGGATTCGTCGTCGTGTACGTTGGCTGTCTCCGAGATACAATCTTCTTGGATTTCGCTACCCCGCAAGACTCGCATTCGAATGTTGTTGGCCCTTTCACCCCAACTCCAGTACAGCTGTATGGCAGCTGCTGTATGGCCTCTGGGTGGGCATGAGCCAGCCGTTCGTGCCAGAGCCTCGAGTCGCTGACCATCGCGGCTCTCTGCTTCTTGGAGTGATAGAAGGAAGTGGTGCTATGTAGGGTGTTCACCGCATACTGGCCACCCTTCTCCTGAAGTGGGATCTCTGAGCCAGTGGCTGGGTTGAACAGCATGTTCCTGAGGGAGTCCAGTCCGAGTCCTTGGCGTTGGAGCTGCCTGGCTGAAATAAGCGTCGTCGGGTAGTCTTTGATGTACGAGACATCATGGCAGGTGATGCTGATGACGTTCTGCTTGCTGTCGAGGGTGTCGATGGCCATCGTGCCATGCCCTTCGACGGGGCTTGATTTGCCTCCTCCTGTGCTGTATCTTACAGTGTCGGTGGCCTCGCGAAAGTTGGTGAGGAGGTCTTTGTTGTTGGTTATATGGTTGGGTGTACCCGAGTCGATCAGGAACTCGTGACGGAGATCCCCTCCTCGGTTTGTCCGTTGAAACTCGTCCGAATCAGCGACGGAGAAGTTGCTCATGAAGTTGGTGTACTCGTCATCGCAGCTCTGTTCATCATCGTCACCGAGGAAGTTGTTAAAAGCAGAGACGGCGACTCCACTGGTGCCTCTTGCCTCCTGCCGCTTCTTTTTGTCCTCCTTGATTTTCTCGTTCCAGAATTGCATGTGCTTGGCTTCATCCTTTTCTTCGCTTCGTCAATGCAGTCCAGGATGTTCTGAATGGATTGATAGCTCTTCTTCC